TGGGAACTGCAGACTTTGCTCCGGGCCTTTGGCTGGGCCTGGAGCTACGGAGCCCGAAAGGCAAGAATGACGGCTCTGTTGGGGGACGCCGCTACTTCACCTGCCGCCCTCACCACGGCGTGCTGGTCCGTCCCAGTCGAGTCACCTATCGTGGCATCAATGGTTCACACTTGGTGAAGGACAGCAGCAGATAACTATGAGAAACAGTCAGCTGCTGCAGGAAAACAAATATATTTCTTTGGTCTGCTACAAACAACAGTTTTGTCTTGTGTTTTCAAATTCTTGTTATTGATTTTCTCCAGTTCTCTCAGAGGTCTTGGGAGATGCTGTAACCACTACCTAACAGTTAATTTTCAATTCTACAAGAATGGTCAAAAGGAAAAAAAGCACTTTAGGAAATCAACATGCAATTCCCCTCAGAATTTGACTTGGAAGTTTCAGAAGTGAAAGTCTTAAAAGACCAAATTGCTGCACAGCTCTTTAAGCGATTGCACTAAAGAATACACGAGCACTCTGTATATAACTCAATAATATATAAATATACGTATCTACTATGGAAATGGTTTATAAAGCATAGTTTTATTTGCTAACTAATTTTAAACACTTAACGCAAGATAATAAGGTTAGACGTTAAACCTCTGACCCAGCGTGTCTGTGTTTGTGATTACACGTGTGCATGTGTTTCAGATTCCACCTTGTCATGATGGAGATCAGTATTACTCCAAGGTTGCTACATGGCTCAGGTAATTGATGGAGATGGGGGAAAATAATTTTCAGTAGAGGACTCCATTTAAATTTAACAGGATTTCATTAACCTTTAGCCTCCATCGACCCATTCATTTAATTATGAAAAAATGAGTTGTTTCCTCTTTTTATGTACTGTTATGTCACACACGGCCTATGTATATCGATGCTGGTACATTGCACTTCTGGCTGCAACTGTGCTGCCTGTCTGACATGAAGCCGCAGTTAATAAATATTTAGACTCATGTTTGAATAAAACATCTTGACATAAAACATCCTTTTTTGACTTTGACTGATTTACAACCTGAAACAAAAAATGGAAGTCAAATCAGAATGATATTTGTACGACCACGAGTCACAGTACACACTTCAAGGACTTTAAGATCATCTCTTTTAAGACCTGAAACCTAATTCGTTACATGCTTTTCAAAGCATTTACTTTGTTGGTAGGTTTTAGAATATACAATATATATATATATATATAGAGAGAGAGAGAGAGAGAGAGAGAGAGAGAGAGAGAAAGAGTTGCAGTTGTCCAGTCTATACAGTATCTAACAAAAGCATGTACCCCTCTTTTAATGCAAAGACATTTCTAATTTTGTGAACATACAGGTGGTATGTAGGTTGCTCTAGAAATCTGCCCAATATAGGCTTTAAAGGTCTGATTATCAAAAAGTATTCAGAGGTTCTTTACTGAACTGGGGGCTGTGCTGATGTTAGTCATCGCAGTGACAGTGTCAGATAACGCCTCTGTTAGATCTCTTAGAAACACTCTTCTAAGTAGTTTCGGCAAAATGTCCTTTTACTTTCACTGAAGTAAATTTTGACGTTGAAGTATTTTACTTTATTTGAAAATAACCTGTTGGAACCTGAGTAAATAATTAAATGCTATGAAAACAAGCTGCGTTAACTTAAAGAAAATTGCGTGGACGTGCGCACGAGGATTTCCCACTATGCCATTGTAGCCAGACACTGACTAAGAGACTGACTCTATCATGTCGTTGGATGATGGCTGGTGCCGAATAAAAAATGGAGGTTGAGCAGAGAGCTCCCGAGGAGCAGAGGAAACTCAGAAAGTGAAGGAAATCCTTGGCCATAGTTCAGCCAGCTCTTTGTCTTCAAATGCAAACGAGGGAATAACTTTTATCATGAGACGCAAAGCGTGCCTGCCCCGGCGGACAGAGTTGGACAAAGCTGTCGAAACTTCCACGTCAAACCTTCGAAATCATGTGGCTGTAAGTAGAGTATCGGTGCTTTTCCTGTGTTTACCAGAAGTTATGTTTATTGTTTGGTTAAAACCTTCGTCCGTTAAGCAAAATGTATCTTCACGATAGCGATTATTTTCGTCTAGCTTAACATCCATCCTGGAAGTAGAGCAGTACCTGAGCACCGTCAGAGAAATAAATAAAAATACAAGTGCATGATTTTGATTGCAATTGGTCTCATTTAACATGAAATCATCTAAAATCATCCTAGGAGTTGCTGATCCTGTACAATAGTATTGGGTTTAGCACTGTTGCCTTACAGCAAGCAGCAGGGAGATGGGCTGTTATTGTTGTTATTAATTTATTAATTGTCCCTAATCTCCCATACATAATACATAAACATAAACCTCATTTATTTTAATTTCCTGGACCAGTATTTATCTAGCATGGATAAACAAAGTCTCCTATAAATGTCTAGTCAACCAGAAGTTTCAAGGACAGAGTTTGTTGTGGATCTCAGCAGACTATTGATTGTGCATATGTAACCCTGGCCTGCTGTTCAGTAAAACATCCACATTCTGTCTAATTAAGTTGGGTCAGCTGCTTCACTAGCTGAGGAGTAGTCATGCTCTCATTGATCTACCTGGTCAGGTCCCCAGTGATTGAAAAGCAAAGCTGATCAGAGCCAAAAGTTGTGAGAACTGTCTTTCACAGAGCAGATGCAGAGGCCGCCTTTTTCCTTTCCTTTCTTTTCTTTTTTTTCTTTTTTGGCTATTTCCAGTGTAAAGGGTTGCTTCTACTGTATGTGGACGCAGTTTAAAAAAAGCCTCATTGACTACTTTTATTGAGGAGATTCAGACTCATTTTAAGGAACTGGAAATGAAAAGAAATGTTAACCTAAAACCATATCTATTGATTTGAACAACTAATTTTATAAGGATTAATTCTGTTAAAAAGAAAATGTAGCGTCTGAAAAGTTTAAAAAAAATTAAAAAAAATTTTTTGGGAAAAAAAACCAATTCAAAATGTTATCTTTTCTGCATGTTTCTTATCAAATTAGAGCATTTTGAGAAATTCTTTTGAAAAATATATTTTCAGAATTTTTTTCATAAAATTCCTAATTTCGTGTATTATGTGGTCAGATGGTGAAATAATGTGATAATAAATTTTGGAAAAAAATTCAAAATTTTATCTTTTTTGCATGATTCTCATCAAAATATAGCGTTTTGAAAAAAAAATTATGGAAAAAAATTTTTTGAAATATTTTTAAAAAAGAAAACTAGTCAGATGGTTAAAATGTGATGAATGTTTTTTGAAAAAAAAATCATTTGCATGTTTCTCATCAAATTAGAGCATTTTAAGAACTTTTTTAGAAAATCTTTTTTTCTGATTTTTTTTCATAAAATTTCTAATTTCGTGTGTTTTGTGGTCAGATGGTTAAAACAATTGATGAAAACTTTTGAAATTTTATCCTTTCTGCATTTTTTTGACCAAAATATAGCGCTGTGAAAACAAATTTGAAAACATTTTTTTAAACATTTTTAAATTAAAAAAAACTTGTCAGTTGTTGAACAGTTTTGATGAAAACTTCATCAAAAAAAAAATCAGAAGTTGGCGTACCAGAAAAGAATATATTTTCTGAATTTTAACTACAAAAATGGACATAGCTAAGTATTTTAATGCAAATTAGTGTATTTTTAGTCATTTTTGAGAAAAATTTTTTTTCGAAGATTTGTTCAGGAACGTATTTTACTGTGATCAAAACTTGGCGTACCAAAAAAGTATATTTTTTTCTGAATTTTAACCACAAAAATTGACATAGCTAAATATTTTAAGGCAAATGAGGGTATTTTTAGTCATTTTTGAGAAAAATTTTTTTTCGAAGATTTGTTCAGGAACGTATTTTACTGTGATCAAAAGTTGGTGTACCAAAAAAGTATATTTTTTCTGAATCTTAACTACAGAAATTGACATCGCTAAATATTTTAAGGCAAATGAGTGCATTTTTAGTCATTTTTGAGAAACTTTTTTTTTCAGAGATTTGTTCAGGAACGTATTTTACTGTGATCAAAACTTGGCGTACCAAAAAAGTATATTTTTTCTGAATCTTAACTACAGAAATTGACATCGCTAAATATTTTAAGGCAAATTAGTGTATTTGTAGTCATTTTTGAGAAACTTTTTTTTTCAGAGATTTGTTCAGGAACGTATTTTACTGTGATCAAAACTTGGCGTACCAAAAAAGTATATTTTTTCTGAATTTTAACCACAAAAATTGACATAGCTAAGTATTTTAATGCAAATTAGTGTATTTTTAGTCAATTTTGAGAAACTTTTTTTTTCGGAGATTTGTTCAGGAACTTTTTGGTATAGTATTTTACTGTGATCAAAAGTTGGTGTACCAAAAAAGTATATTTTTTCTGAATTTTAACCACAAAAATTGACATAGCTAAGTATTCTAATGCAAATTAGTGTATTTTTAGTCATTTTTGAGAAACTTTTTTTTTGAGATTTGTTCGGGAACTTATTGCTATAGTATTTTACTGTAATCAAAAGTTGGTGTACCAAAAAAGTATATTTTTTTTATGAATTTTAACTACAAAAATGCACATAGCTAAGTATTTTAAGGCAAATGAGGGTATTTTTTGAGATTTTTTTTCGGAGATTTATTCAGGAACTTATTGGTATAGTATTTTATTGTGTTCAGAAGTTGGCATGCTATCACGAAAAATTGCAAGTAAAAAGTCCCCAAAATGCCTTAA